TGTCTAGGTTGTAAGTTATTTCTCCCTGAATAAACATCTATTCGGCCTATTTGTTTATCCTGATCCTTATTTAACCGCGATACCTTTTAGGAGCTGTGTGCTTAAAACTGAACAGCAGCAACAGCAGGGAACCTGAGAGAGAGAGAGGTTATCTCCTTTACTCTGTTTCTTCTGCTTCTTCTGTCCTGTTTTGTTTATCAAGACAGGGTTTCTCTGCCTTGCCCTGGCTGACCTTGAACACAGAGATCTGCCACCTCTGCCTCCCAAGTGCTAGGATTAAAGCCATGTGCTACCACTGACTTATAAATTTCCTTTTCTTCTGCTACCTTTTCCCAACCCTTGGCCTATCAGCACACCCTAACTTGCTCTTCCTGCTAAAGGGAGGATGTGGAAGAGTTCTATTCAGGATCCTACAAGAAGTACCACACTGAGAGTCCTAACAAGGGGATTCAGTCCTGTGTTTGAACTGAGTGAGAAGGACACTCAGGAGTGGGAGGGGACATTGCCTTGAGCCAGACTCACATCAGCCAGTGGCTCATACGTGCAGCTATGCAGGTTGTAAATTCTTGAACTTCTTCCTTTTCTTTGGTTCAGAAGGTCAGTTCTTAGCCTCTGGTCAGTAAGTGCATGCTTGATTCACATCCTGTTGTAGTGACTGGTTATCTCAATCTTCACAGAGGCAAATGCACTAGGGCTGTATTTCTACTTTTCATTCAGCCATGTGTTAAATTACAAGTATTCCCTTTTCTTTCTCTAGCCTCCCTTCTCATTTCTCCTCTTTCTCTGTGGATCGAGAATGACTGCCATTAACGTCAAACCGAAAAAAAAAAAAAAAAAAAAAAAAAAAAGCACTACCACATTTCCACTCTACTCCTCTTAAATGTTTTCCCATTTTTTACTAGCCATTTACTCTGTGACTGTCTAGGTAGCAAGATGTCTCTGCCATTTCTAGAGTTTATATACTATCCTTCTATGGTCTTTTATGGAGTTGAAGACAGATAGTTATGGTTATAGTTTTCCTTAGTTAGGATTAAAGATAAGTTACATATAAGATTTTAAACTCACAAAGGTAGGATAGATGATAGAATATTTTCTTTAATTCTTGATAATGTTAATGGACTAAATATTATAACTGTTTTGTTATATGTAATTTTACTATGTTAAAGTTAAAACCCTTCTTTTTACTTAGAAAACAGGAGATGATGGGGAATGTTCTTCTGTATATGTTTGTTTGATTGGTTGATGAATAAAACACTCATTGGCCAGGCAGGTGGATAGGTAGGACAAGGAGACTAGGAGGATTCTGGGAAGTGTGGGCAGAGACGATTCGTCATGTGATTCCTGAAAGTGATGTATGCAGCTGGGCATAATCAGAATATAAGCAGGGACAAATAAGAAATTGCTCTCTTCTCTGCGGAGATGTAGCAGGCAAAGGAGTTGTAGGTCTGGCATTCCCAGTAAGCCAAGACCACGTGGGTATAGATAGTACATAGATTAATTAAGACAGAACTAGCTAAATAAGAAACCCAAAACAATGGCCAACAGCTTTATAATGGAGGAAAAAAGGGTCTTGCTTTCCTCACTCCTTGAGCAAAGTCCTTTACATTTTTATTTCACAGTGGGTGCTGGAAATGCTGCTGGCAGCTTTTGCTAATAGGAACACAGGAACAATGTGAAAGAGCTTGACTTGATAATTTGAACTTTTGATCCTCCCCAGACTAGAGATATAGCTTAATGGTACAGTGCTTGCTGAGTCTGGATGAGGTCCTGGGTTCAAGCCTTAGCAGACAGAATGAATATAAATAAATAAATAAATAAATAAATCTGAGAACTAATGACTTTACCGTCAGGAGATAGTCACTCATCTAGTCCTCATCTCCATGGACTACAGAAATGGGCACCATCAGAATCAAAGATGTTTACATGGGCCATTGATCAGGGTGAGTGATGCAGCTTGAGGGATCTGGTGATTGCCCCACTTTGGGTGTCAGTTGAGCAAATGCTGAGCACACTGTTCAATGTTTTGGACTTTGATTCCAAGGGACTGATTGTAGATTTGGTGGTGCTTCATATTTTTGAACACTTCTTAATTCTTCTAGCCTCTAGAACCTCTCCCTCTATTTCTCTTTGATTTTTTTGAGACAGGGTTTCTCTTTGTGTCTCTGGCTGTCCTGGAACTTGCTCTGCAACCCAGATTGGCTTTGAACCACCTGCCTCTGCCTCTTGAGTGTTGGGATTAAAGGCATGTCCCACCACTGCTTAACTAGACCCTCTCTCTCTTACACCACTTTCTAAAGCAATTCTATCCTTGACTTCTGTGTAGGAAATAATATGCATTGGATTTGGCTTTCTAGCAAATGGCTATTAGTGCATGTGTTGTGCGGCATGCATATACTCAGTATGTGTGGTGCATGTGCACACTGGGTGTTTTGCTTTATTGCTCTCCACTTTATGGACTTCAGATAGGATTTATTTAAGCTAGGCTGGCTGACCAGTGAGCTGTGCAGATCCACCTGTAACTGCTCACCATCGTGCTGGGTCATAAGAACTCACTTTCTCTGGCTCTTTATGTGGATTCTGGAAATCTGAAGTCAGATCCTTATGCTTACAGACTAGGTGTTCTTCCTTTCTGAATCACCTTTCCTGCATCCTCTAGCACAGAGGTTCTCAACTTTCCTAATGCGGAGACCTTTAATACAGGTCCTTATGTTGAGATGACCCACATCCATAAAATTAACTTTGTTGCTACTTCATAACTAATTTTCCTATTGTCAGGTATTGTAAATGTCTGTGTTTTGTGATGATCTTAGGCAACCCCTGTGAAAGGGTTGCTGAACACCTGCAAAGGGGTTGCAACCCACAGGTTGAAAACCACTGCTAACAAGATATTTTAATTCATTTCCCTTGTAGCTGACTTAAGTTGCTTTCATCATATATCTAATTCTATTTTTACCTCTTTTATCTATGACTTTCTGAATTATAGAGGCCATGTCTTTCATCCTATTGCTGACATACTCTAAAAATCAATTTAGCCCCTGTAGTAAGTACATCATTTTCAAAATCATGGCCTTCCTTTCTATCTTCAAGATAATGGAACCATTCAACAGCAATTACTGCTGCTACAGCAAGTGGTTTGGGAGATATTAATAAACAAGAGACAAAAATCCTTTTATGAAGGTTGCATTTAGAATGAGGGTAATAAGCATAAATAATTATGGAAGAATAGAGATGTGCAGAGACTTGATGGGGTACTCAGAGCAGACTTCATGGAGATTACAAGCATGTGCCACCATACTTGGCATTAGAATTTTATTTTGGGCATATGAATCTGAAATGAGTAATAATGAAACATGACAAATTGAATGTTTCATGGGTCCAACTTCAAGAGAGGGAGACATGAACTTGGGATATGTCAGAACAAAGATGTTTCATGACAATATTAGGTAAGATTGCTAAGGGAATGTGTTCAGAGAGAACCCAGAGTTGAATCCAGAGTTATTACAATGGCAGGCAAGGGTTGGGGAGATGAGTGCCAACCAGCAAAGTAAAAATGGACCTTCAGAAGTAGAGTCACCAACTATCACATGCTGATATGGAAACATAAAGGTAGAATATGGGCCTCTGGATTTGTCAAAACAGAGGTCACTGCTGACCTTTCTGAGAGTAAGATTGGGTAAAGTATGTATGCAAAACTGAACAGAAGCATTTTAAGAGAAAGAACAAAAAACTCAACCCAGATCAAAGATATGGGTAGAAGGTGACAGGACAAGTGGTTTAAAAAGATGATGGGGGTTATGTATTTGTGTAGTGCCAGCATGTCAGTGTGTGCTTGCATGGGCACATGGTCAGAGCAAGACCTCTCTTGGGTGTCTCCCTCTGCTTTTCTACCTTACTGCTTTCAGACAGAATCTCTCAATAAATTGGAAGATGACCTTTTGTCTAGAGTGGTGTCGAGTGAGCTCTTGGAACCCATGTGCCTCTCTGCTTACCAATGCAGGAGTTACAGATACATACAGCCATGCCTGTTTTGTTTTTATGTCGGCACTGGAGACTTGAATTCAGGTCCTCATGCTTGCAGGGCAGGCACTCTTACTCAAGGCACAAACTCCCTGACCCCAGTGTTTAAATCGAGTGAATGGCAAGCTTTTATGTTGCAAGGATCTCTCTTGCATTCTCCTTCCCAAGTTTAGTGCTTTTCACAGGCTTCATGTGCATCTCTTTATAGACATGCTCTGATGAGATCTGGCCCTCTCACACAACCACCTGTGTGCTAAATCCCTGCATGTACCTACAGCAGGGGAATAGAGTGACTGCTCCACAGTAGTACTTAGCATCTAATCGACATGTTGTGTCTAAGTGTGACTGCTGGACTTAGGGAAGGTCTGGCCTTCTGGAATGGTTCTCTTATAAAGTGAAATATTAGGTTATTTTAAATAGGGTCATTCTTAGAATGTACTTAAGGTGTTTGCTATCTCCATCCCTAACCATGGTACTTTCTGACTCCAAGTACTACAGAGATGACACTGAGGGCCTGGAGGGAGGCTGGAGATGTGCTCACTACTCAGGCTTCTTAGTGCCATACTGCTGAGGGACAGGTGCTAGCTGTTCTGATTGGACTACTTGGTTTTTTGTTTGTTTTGTTTTGAATAAAGATAGGCTCTTGTAGTTCCAGCTGACTTCAAACTATGCAATTGTCTAGCCTTGAACTACTCCCTGATCACCTGTCTCCACTTCCTGAGCGCTGGGATTATGGGCCCAGCTCTGATTGGGACTGAATTAATAAATGGACACCAGTGAGGGTAGACATAAGTACCCCAATCACTTCCCTGCTGTTGACATTTGGTGTTGTACATTGAGAAATTCTTTCTAGATAGGTTTTACTTTTATTCCATGTACTTTAGTGGAAAACGGGGACTGATGAAACCAAGGTGCTTGTACAGGTGTTCTGTTTTGAAATTAAGTCACTAGTATATACACACTGAACAAGCCAAAATACTTACTTTTCATTTTCTACAAAATGGTTTATTTTGCTGTTTACTATGGAGAAGCTACAAATACATTCCATATAAAAACAAAGGACTGAACTTTGTAGCACTGCAAAACATAAATGGTCATGAGGAATTGAGAAGCCAGAAAAAGGGGCATGGCATCTAACATTTGCTCATCTCCCATCATACTCCTAAAATGTCGAAGGCACTTGCCAAAATGGTTAAATCGGGAATTGTGGGATGAAAAAAAAAAGGACATACAACTAAGACATAAAAGCAATGCTTGAAATTTCTTATCACTAATATTTTACTAAATCCTTGGACATGTGCAATTTACAGCTTTAAAATAATATTTTATTTCATAATCTTTTCAAGTGAAAAGAAGCTACTGCAACACTGTAAAACCAGAAGTTTTCTATAATCAATTATAACAAGAACATGTTTATCTCTAGATAATCACCTAGGTCTCTCATGTGACCTCTCAAGTACACATTGGAAATCAGCTCTCACACCAGCACAGTGTGACTTCTGGAGCACCCCACCCCCACTCCGGCACACACCTTTGTCCAGTGTTTGCCAGGGTACTGCACTGCTGAGAGACACACAGGGCACAGTCCTTGTTTCACAAGCTTACACTCATCCCAACTGGAATAGCAATGTTTTTCTTTTCATCCGTACTCACTTGTTCTAAGTAGTTTTATAAAATAAAACAAGAGCCAGAAAAAAGTGTGCTCCCATCCCTTATTCTACTTGACATATGAAAATAAATATCTGAATAAGACTAACATCAGGCTTAAAGAGAAGGCCCATCTGCACATGGTGGTGCCCACGTGTATCTCAGCTACTTTTGAGAGTAAGTTGGAAAGATCACTTGGGCCCAAGAATTCTTTCTTTGATCAAAAAGAAGAAGCCTGCAGGGCATGGTGGCACATACCTTTAATCCCAGCACTTGGGAGGCAGAGGCTGGTGGCTCTCTATGAGTTTGAGGCCAGCCTGGGTCACCTAGTCTAAAAAGCAAGACACACAAAATAGGCTCCCATCAGTCGAAGGGAGGGTGGCATTTGTATGAATTGAGATGGCCCTTTTTTGATCCTTCTGACCCATTGTCTTTACATTGTTCTATGGCAACTGCCTTCCCAAAACATGTGCTTAGATGAACTCATGCTCTTAGTACCACTCACAGAAAATTGACTAATAACATTTCTATGTGAAAACACAAAATTTGATCGATAGTACAGTTCTTAACTTAGTTAACACTGACTCAATACAACTAATGACATTTATGTTCATCACTGAAAAGAATTCTTGCATATTGTCTAACCATAAATTATATACAAGTTGTGAATACAAATCTATCTGGGCTCTGGTGCTGACAAGGACACAGCACATGTGGAAATGGCAAGAAGAGATACCAAGCTCTTCCCACATATGGATCCTCAGCCTGTGTATGTGTGTATTTACAGGGTACCCGCATGCTACCCAGAACAGAAAGGTGTTGGTCTGCTACTAAAAGGCCAACAGTACTTTCTAACACAGAGACCAGTAATGAACTGCAATGACAGTCACAGGTACCTCTGTACCTGATGTGTATTACTCTTTCTCCGTTTTAAACAATGTCCCATCATCAATAGTGGACCTTCTTTTAATCAGTAAATTTCCCAGCTTATAAAATTTTGGGACAATTTCCAATGGGTTTTGTTCTGACAAAGGAATCAAAGGCCACTGAATTGGAAGAACCCATTCACCACAACTGCTGCAAGGAAAGAGGCTTCTGTTAGACAAATCACAAAGGGCACGATTCAGGCATGGAAGTAGTGGCCTGATTTCACTGGGCATCAACTAACATTAGCAAAGCTACTTGAATTTTTCTGTTGATCTTCATTGTTGTTAAATAATGATAGGTTTGATGGTGGTAAAACTTCATTTTTTCAAGTGCAGGATGATCTGAGCTGGATGAGAAAAAGAAGGATTAAGGAGGGAATGAAGGCAGGCCTGGCATCAATTTGAACAACTATTTCCCTTCTGTTTTTTTGCTTGTTTTTGTTTTGTTGTTTGTTTGTTTTTTTGAGACAGGTTCTTACTCTATAGCCCAGGCTGGTCCAGAACACACCATGAAGCCCAGAATGGCTTCAAAATCATGGCATTCCTCCTACTTCAGTGTTCAGAGACCAGGGCTTATGGGTGTGAGCCATTACTCCTGGCTCTTCTCAGCTTCGTATCCTAAGAACGCCCATATTTCCAGTATTTCACATATTTCACAGTATGACATAATGTCATAAACATGCCAGTCATTTTAAGGACTCAGGATAATGTAACATCAATAAAGATAAACCAATAAATAAACTGAGTGAAGTCATTACTGCTGCAAAATTCTCAGTCACATGCCAACAGGGTTTCCTCAGTAGCAATAAATTTAAATACAAACAACTATATATATATATAAAGTTATGTAATCTAACATTTTTATACTTAATGTTTTAAAAATAATTTTATAATTCTATTTTTAAAATAATTGTTTTCTTAAAAGTGGCGTACTTTATTAAAAGCAGCACAGGAAATAGAGTCTTTTCAAAAAGAAAACTTCATCTTCACTAATAGACAGTGAGTGAAACTGGACTTCTATACTCATCAATGGAAAGCTAATGAAGTAGGAGTCTAGTTACTCTTAACACAAGACAAATATACACTGGGACCAGCTGGGCTAATGTAAGTAAAATATCCCCCCTCTACTATCAGCTGCTGGGATTAAGAATACTCATTTTCAAAAGGATTTACCATCAGTTCAGATGGTGTGCACATGAACTGACTAACAGAATGGAGAGGCCAGAGTCAACTTTCCATAATATGCAAGTACTGTAAAGTCAGCAGTTCTATCTAGACCCTGCAAGTGTCTAGGGCACTATTTCATCTGGCTTCCATCTTTCAAGTTTCTTTCCATTCTAAACATTCTTGTCTGCTAGTATGAACCACTGTAGAATTAAACAAAGAAAAATCCAAATTCTTTTATACATTTTGAATTAAAATAATCACAGAAGTAGTATCTGTTATACAGAACCACTGTCCCCCCCTCACATACTAGCAATCCCTACAAACTGTATTTCTAGGTTAAGATGTACATGTGAAGAAGTTTCCGAAGTCTCCAATTTGATTATCATGCCCTTTCCTCTTACACATCAGGATGTAGTTTCATGTTGACTTGTTTAAACAATCAGAAGGGGTTTACACTCTTTACAGTGAACACATCATGTTATGCCCCTGAGTATCTATTACTGACAGTTTGCTACTCACTGCCACTGGCTGTTTGGACACTTGACCGTGCAACATCTATGTCCCCAAGAGAACACACCGAGAGTGTCAGAAAAACATGATAGTCAAAGCAGAAGACTATGCTAACTTCAGCTCGTCCGGCACAGGATTAGTTAAAATTAAAGAGGGAAATCTATTAATAAAGTAGATCAAGGAAAGTTACCTGCAGATTGCACTTACATCAGAATTAGTCCCTTTTTATTGTAGTTTAACTGACAATCAACTGGACCAAGACTGGGCGCTATATATTGCTCATTTTCAAACACTCCAATGACATTCTCCAATACTTTTATTATCTCCAGTTTTATGGTATCATATTATGCATTTCACACTGTTTAAGTTTCCCATTTTCAAAATGCAAATACCAAAAGATTACCACATATTCCCTTATACAGTCAGAATAGGTTTACTGGAATGTTTTCAGGTAGGGCCAAAGGCAGAAACATTTACAACACTTAGCTTTTGTTAGTCCATAAATGTGGAAATTGCCTGCAAAGCAACTGCAATATGAAAAGAATGACATTCTTGCAAATACTGATGGGATGGTTATGAATCTCTTTCAGCATAAGAGTCAGGACTCTATACAGGCTTTCTGACCATCAGCTTGACCCTCACTTTAATAATAAATGTTTTTAATGACACTATAACACAAGTATGGGTATGTTATCAGTGTTTAACTATATATATATATACATATAACAAACTGGCAAGTATCTAGTTTCAAATTAGATCCTTGGAATAAAGCAAAATAGAGTTATCTTTGCCTTAAATATAATTATTAAAAACACATTTTGCAAGTTGGGAAGAAGATAATTGGATATTCTCAATGTTCCAATTTGAAGTGGTACTTGCCTTTTAGTTTCTTGAAAAAGAAAATTTGAAAGTTATATACATAGATTTCATTTAAATTATGCAGCAATCTTTAATTATTATTGTCCCAGATCTTGTTTAATGAGGATCTCTGTCACCAAATCAAGTACGGTTTTTCACAACTATAAGAACTGTAAGAGAAAAAAGTAAAACAAAAAAGAAAAAGAAAAGAATGCATCAAAATCAGAACCATATCACAGCTAGGTCAGAAGCACAATCCCTAAGTGTAGGTATCGGCCATTGTTATAGAGGAGAAACCCAGGCCAAACTCTCAGATAATAGCTATAAAATAAGAGGAAATACAGAAACATCATAAAAACAACCTGTGTCTAACACTGGCCTCTTGAGCAAATAAACCGTGTCAAAACAGTAACCCGTAGCTTCTAAAATATTACTACAATATTTAATGATATGGGAAAATAATGAATAAAATATTTATTGGAAAATATTTGATATGATCCTAGCTTTTGGAAATCATGCTAACATACCAATACGAAAAGACTAAAAGCATATACAATACTTATATTGACAGCAGCTATAGTAGTACAGTGAAAGTCCAGTTACATTTTATAGTTCTTTTTATGCTAGTCTGTACTTGACATGGTGCCCACTATTTATGGTAGGTTCTTGTTATCTGAGATAACTGTATTCTACAACGTTACCATGAACACTGAACTGGTAACTCCTAAACCACTAATCCTAGGAAAAATACAGACATAAGCTCCCACAAGTCTCTGGCTACTACACTTTAGTCAATAACTTAGCACACAATCTTGGTTTATGTGTGTTTTGTTGAAAGACATATTGTTTAATAGCTATCATTAATTAAAAATTATAACAAAGTCAAGGTCAGCAGCATTGTAGCTCATCCTGGAATAAGCCCACATACATATTTCCTGGGAAGGGCTACCACAGCTTTAGTAAGAGGGACAGCATTTCTAGACTATCCGCAAGGGCCGTTTGACACCATGAAGTCAGCAAAAATGTGGACCAAGCAGTCTATGAAAGGACACTTGGTTATGCAGTGAAAACTGAAATAAGAAGGCAGATCTCCATTTGACCCAGCTGGAAACCTATGGTCAAGGGAGTCAAAATTCTCCTTTTTCTGAATGACCATGAAAGTAACACAAGCATTAACATGGGGTTACAAATATACTTCAACTACTAAATGAATTCAAACAACCCAGGTAATGATACTGGATTATAGACTTTTGTAACACTTTTTAAGTTTAAAAAAAATCCTTATAAAAATATTCAACTTTCTAGTTCTTCAAAAACCTCTGTAAATGTAAGTAAAGAGATCTTGAAGAAAGGTACTTTAAAAATGACCTGACTTTGAAAAAAATACTAAGAAAAAAAAAAATCCAAAACCAGAATGAGTTATGCTTTCCGAACTAAAACTAAGTTCAAATCTCACACATACAAAAATCATTTGGAGAAATAAACTGGGTTTGCCTCCTGAACACGGCAGTAAACAGAAAATTGTAATTTGGTCCTAAATATAACAGATACCAGCTTTATCCCTGTGCTGTGACTGGGGTGTGGTCGAGGAGCAGGAGAAGGATTACCTTTTGAGACTTTTGACACTCCCCAGAGATATGTACACATGCAAATTCACATAGAATTTCAGACATTTAAAGTAGTTTTCAGAGACTGAGAGATTTTAGGTAAAGGTTCCCTCCTTATTCAAGGCATATGTCATTATTCAATGCTCACATTACATACACTACTACGTCAACTCAAATTAAAGGGAATTAAAATGATTTTAAAATAAAGCCCTAGTCAGAGACCAGCCTGGGCTACACAGTGGCATTTAGGACAGCCTGGGCTACATTGTGAGACTATGTCTCTGAAAAAGAAAATCAAGACCATATCAAACCCCAGCCTTACAAAACACAATATCCCAAGGAACAATGATCCAATAAATACTTACTGATAATCATTAACAAAAGGATAGCTGCAGCCAAAGCCATGATGGCTTTTATCTATAACACACAAAAAGACAAATGAAAGATTTGGCTTGTTAATAACGACAAGGCTCTGGTCTATTTACTTTACTACCTCATCAATAAATAGGCACACTCTGGGCAGGGTTTCCAATTTGATGTTTCTCACAAGAACCTGATGGCTGTTTTGTATTCTTGTGTAAATAATCAAAGTGCCCCCAAATGTATGGCTTTGCTTTGGTAGATGACACCATCTAAGGCTCTACTGCACAGTACCAGCCACAACCAAAGCCTTCTCAGGACTGGGCCTACTTCTAATGTGAGACACAAAAACTACTTTTAGCAATTCTGGTCAGGACTGGATAAAAACACAGGCTCCCAGTAGCCCATGTATTATTTTACATACAAAGGTCCTGTCTTATGTACGGAGTTATGTGCCCTCGCTCCATGAATGCCCTAAACCATGGATTGTACCAAATCTTCTATGTGTGGTTTTCCCTGTAAAGGCATACCTACAATAATAAATTGATAAAGTAAATAGAACAAACTAATAACCAGCAATAAAATGGAACACATGTATAATAAGATAAAATGAATTTGGTTTTTCTCTTCCAAGAGTTAAGACAAATTTAGGTTTCTCTAACAACAGCTCTCTGTAGACAACCAGCGATATGGAAAACAAAAACATGTATAGGGGACAGCTATCTATATGGCAGCAGGCTTCCCAGAAGACCATTACACATAAGGCAGCAGGGGTCACAGCAGTTTTTTTCCAAGTATATGAGAATACTGTCAGTTGTTTTCTTGCCATATTTTCTTTACAGTAATTTTACCCCTTCATGATGTTTTAATCTCCATTTTAAGGACTATACTTTAGATTCTTTATGAATAACAACACTTAAGTAACTTAAGAGTATTGTGTCACTTTAGAATTAGAAAAGCTTTAAGATCATGTTTCAAGGGGGCTGGAGAGATGGCCCAGAGGTGAAGAGAACTAGCTGCTCTTCCAGAGGTTATGAATTCAATTCCCAGCAACCACATGGTGGCTCACAACCATCTGTAATGAGATCTGGTGTTTTCTTCTAGACTACAGGCATGCATGCAGACAGAATACTGTATCCATTATAAATAAATCTTTAAAATCATCATTTTTCAACCAGATGCTTGACATTTTAATCTCATGTTATCTTTCTATATACAATTATTTCATTTTTTCTTAAATGCATACATTATATAAACTAATTTCATTTCCTTGATGAATCAAAAGCCTTGCTTTCATCAAACATTTTCATATAATTAAAAACTCATGACTTTAATATCAACATGTAGGAGGCAGAGGCAAGTGGATCTCTATGAGTTCAAGGCTAGCCTGGTCTATAGAGTGAGTTCAGGCAAGCCAGTCCTTTTTTTTTTTTTTTTTTTTTTAAGGGGGAGGGTACTCAAAAAAGATCAATATTGGTAGTAGATAAGTAATTAAAAAATATTAGATAGTGAAAGTGCAAAGTCCAGAGTGAGGATCCACAGCTTCAGAAGGGATGTTCTAACTGGGTAATTATATGGCTGTCACTAAGAGATACTAGGTAATTATATAGATGGTCACTGAGATATACTGGATAATTTCAATGTGTGACTTTTTTTTTATTTCCAAGATTTTTATAATAAGGTTCTCAAAAGTTAAAAAAAAAATCAGTATTTCCAGTATTATAAAGAGATGCTTCGTTCTAATGATAATCATAAATAGAAATATGAATTAGTTAAATATTTTAAAAATAGAATGACATTACAGCTATGACACCAACAAAGTGACCCCAAAAATATATAAAGGGCTTTGCAATGTGGGTATAAAAGTCTATGTCTGTAATTATAACTTAAAAATGTAAACATAGTCTTGAACCTGGGTTTATATTGTACTAAAAGTACTTTAATCCTTTATTTAACCTGAAAATATATTCTAAATCATATGGAATTTAATAGTGGCTTTCCCAAACCATCTATTAATTTGTCTTATTAACTAGGCTTAACTTTACAAAATTTATACGGAAAAATCAACAAAAAATTAAAAACACCATATTGAATAGAGTTTTCTTGCTTGGTTTCCAATTTGAGGTAAGAAGTATCTAAAGCCATCTTACCCAAATACATTTTCATCACAGGCCCCAAAAGTTCCCTCATAACCAGCTGTAACCTATTACCACCCTACAACCTTTTCAGCCACTGGCAACCTCTGACGTTTTAAATTTCTATCTCCTTTTCCATAACAGCCTTCCTAAATTACTACCATGAAAGTCAATCCAGAAAGTGGGAGACATGGGGAACGTTCTAGATGAACAGGAGCACAATAAGTACTAACAGTGTATGACAACAGAGAAGAAATATAATAAACCTTAGAAATGACATAGAAAACACTTGCTACTTTAACTCATCTTCGTTAATCACAGGACAATGTTGTTCATTGTGTGCTTGATGCTGTACGGTCTACAGGGTTACCTGGGTGAGTCTGTTTAAAACCACAGTACTGTGTATTTTAAACTAGTTAAAAACAGTAGAGGAGGAGGAGGCAAAGAATAAATTAGAGAAAATGCAAAATTTATTCTCTGAAGAAAACAAAAATAGATGGAAAAAATGTCCCATCTATGTATGAAGGGAGCAATGAAACTTGTCTTTCTCCCCTTTGTTCTATTTCTGGAAACAGGATATTTAATAGTTAAACAGACAAAACTCAGTAAATCCAAGATATCTCTTGGAAGAAATCCTTAATATATGGCAAGTTCAGGTTTAAAAGATTATCACTGAACCCTAAAATGAGGGTTTAAAAACAATGAACCCACCAGGTAGTGGTGGCACATGCCATTAATCCCATCACCTAGGAGGCAGAGGCAGGTGGATCTCCGTGAGTTTGGGACCAGCCTGGTCTACAAAGGAAGTTGGACTATTAGACAGAGAAACCCTGTCTCAAAAAACCAAATCCCAAACCAAACCAAACCAAAACCAAAAAAAAAAAAAAAAACGTTTAAAACAACAACAAAAATCCAATGAGCCTATGTTTAAGGATTTTGGCAAAACAAAAACATATACCTAAGAAAAAAGAAAAATCTGCTCTCATCCTGTGATATTTGCTATAAAATCTTAAAAGATATTTGCTTCATACTTGATCATACTGGTCATACTTGATTTAAGAGGCAAATTCACTTCTTCACTGAAATAATTAAAGAATAAAATGGGACTTTTTCCTTAATCTTTTTGTTAAAGTTTCTGGCATACAAACTGCTTCGGTTTTTTCCCCTAGGAGAAAAAAAATCATACTTCCCTCTAGTCCTCATTTTATTAAAAGAAAGACACCCAGGCTGTATACAATGAATTGTTCCAAAAGCGCTAGAAGAAGTGATGCTAAGAAGGGCAGTGTGTGTCACCATGTCCAGATGCTGGATCTCTGGGAAATGAGGGGTGCTTTCATGGAGAGAACGATGAGGCATCCTTTCCGACACTGCTTGGTTCCTTTAGTAACTCCTTCATGTTCCAGGTTGAGGAAATCTCCCAATAACAAGGCATTTTCCCTCACAGAGCTCAGACAAGTGGCCCCTTCTGCTCACACCTTCCTCTATCCCCTCCCCCACCACCTCATTTACTTACTTTGCATCCACGCCACCACATTTGCCTTCGGAGTTGTTTGGATCTGTTGCTGAAAGCAGTTGCATTATCCGATAAGCTTTCTATATCACACAGAGGGTGGAGAAAAGGATTAAATGACACAACAGGATTCTTCTATCTAGTCACACAAACATCAATTTCTACTTAAACTTTCCCCCCACAAATTCTGTTAGTCTACATTGGAAAAACAAAACAACACAAAACAAAAAGCAAAAAAATGCAATGGAAAATCAGCTTGTTCAACCAATCCCACCCCCATCCCCTACTCAAGATTTCACGAACCTTTCCTCAATGCTTATATACACACACTTCTTAATTCTGGTAAGAAAACAGTTTAAAAATAAGAATAGTGTGTGTGTGTGTGTGTGTGTGTGTGTGTGTGTGTGTGCGGGCGGGGAGGAGGGGGTGTGTGGTACAAGATGGACACTCAGCTTGATGACCCGAGCTTGATACACAGGGACCCACATGATGGGAGGAGAGAGCCAAGACCCCAGTCTCCACATGTTCATCATTTTATGTGCTCCAATGCATGCACATGCATATGCACACAAATTAATGTAATCAGAGTTTTTACAAGAGCAGGGGCAGGGGTTGTTGCTCATGGGTTGATGCCTGATAGTACACATTAGATCCCAGCACCAGAAACAAAACAGTTTGGCATGTTTCTAAAAAAAGAATTGCACACAGAGAAAACTGAATTTTTAGGAAAAAAAAAAAAGATAGCTGATTTTAAGTGAAAAGAATAAGCAATCAAGCAAGTTTCTGGTCAGGCAAGTCTATCAAGAATAATCTAACATGCAACCACTAACCAGTGAAAGAGCATGAATGGCTAATGTGTGCCAAAAACCATTACAGGCTCAAAGGCTAACAGTCTATAAATAAAAGTTGCTAAGTTTCCAGGGAAAGCCTAAATCATCACTCAAACAATATTTGAGATCCAGGAATGTGGTTGGAATCATTATAGATACACAGACTAACACCTGTCAGTAAAGACAGACTCCCCAATTACCAGAGAAGATATTAAATAAAAATAGTAAGCAAGTTTGAAAGGAGTACTAAAAACACACTAGATTTTAACACCTTGACATCATAAAAAACACAAAGCATATCAACATAACGGAGCAAGAAAAAGAGGGGATTTTGGGCAATGAAGTTTTAAATTCTCCACTCTTAACTGAGTAAGAAGGAAATAATATAGTAAGACCATTCAGATTAATGGGCAGAAACTAAGCATGGTCTTAAGAATTGAATGTTAACTTCCTAACCCACGATTTCTAAACATCAGTGAGACAAATGGAAGGTATCTATTAGCTACACACATATTCATAACATCAAGAAATACACAAAATGGGAAATGGCTGTACCTGATTTGTCCTGCAGTTCATCTAGTCTCTCTCCTCTCTCAATTACCTTTGTAATATTTTCTTGCATTACATCAATAACTTCATCCACCTGATTCTGAACACTAGTTTGAAAAGAGATAAGATTTATTCTTCTTTTAGGAATATCCACACTTTTAGAACTTTTACTAGATGACAAATTCTCAGAGAACTGTGGTTTGCCATTGAACTACAAAATAAAGCAGTGTTTTCCCATTTGTTGGTCTGAATACTCGGGTAGTTAAGGATAAAGGCCATACATTAATGTTTAACTGAAAGTGTATTTTTGATGGGAGATGTCGTTCTGTAAACATGTTTCTTATTGGTTAATGAATAAAGCACTGTTGGCAAATAGGAAGGCTAGATAGGCAGGACTAAGAGACAAGGAATATTCTGGGAGATATAGTGGAGGAAAGTCAAGATGTAGGGACTTGAAAGGAAGAGGTCCAGACTCTCTCTCCATGTGGAAATACTTAGATTGATAGAAATGGGCTAGTAAGCTAATAAGAAACGCTAATAACAGGCCAACAGCTTTATATCTAATACAGTGTCTCTGTGTATTATTTGGGGATGATGCGACTCTGGGACCAGGCTGGCAGCAAAACTGCTCATAACATATATTTAGTCTTGACTCTATCTTGAATGTATCTCATAAGCAAGACAAGCACTGACAGAATGCTCAGTGCCTCTTGTAATCAAACTTCAGCTATTCAGTAAATACTGAAACAAACTTAAGAATTAGCCTCAACTACCTACTGTCACTTAGGAGTTACCTCCAAAGTATAAAAACACAGAAATGCTTAATTGAGTGTCTAGTATTCCTGTGATACTTTAACCACAGATAAGAACCTATCTTACATTACTTTATATATAAACCTCGACAATGAAATATCTGACTATATGATTTCTGTGTCACAACTACTCAACATTGCTATTATTGTTCAAAAAAAGCTACTGATAATATGGAGACAAATGAATATAGCCCGTATTCTAATAAAAAATAAAAACTCAATATGTTTGTTTATTAAAAAAAAACAACAGCCAGATCTGGTTCACAGGCTGTAGTCAGCCCTGGTTCACAGATAACTATGACAATCATTTAAGTGAATGAGTATCTAGGAACTTACTGCTTAATTTTATCATTTCTAGGCCCAAATCTTGGTCCAGATGGTCCCCGTCTGAAAATAAAATATCCAGTATATGTTAGTAATGACAATATCACACAAATATGAAAATAAGAAATACACCTCTCTGTGCAATCAAGTTGGATTCTAAGTATAGATCATCATTAATCATATGGAGTGCATTTTATAGGAGCTGATAAAAATGGATGCTACATAATAATGTATCTTCTTCATTGTATATACTGTTGGCTATAATCTAATTCTTCTGAGTGGTAAAACTTCCTGAGAAAGTAGAGTACATAATCCTAACCTTTGGTGATACTTATCCCACACACATTAAACTCTGAAATGTCATATCAACTAAAAAGCAACTTACTTTTTGAATTTATTCAAAACATAAAAATTTGAAGTATATTTTAAAAATATCTTTCTTATAGATATCCACACAGCAATAAGAAAATGTAAGAGCACAAGCATTTAACAGTCTCAAGTTATTACTATTATCTCTTGTTATAGTCAAGTGTATAACACCTTGATCCATCTACTTCAATGCTCTAGGAATGCCAACTTCAGGATATTATGATAAAAAAATTTTCTGAAGATAGAGAAGGTTTAAATCAAAAAATTAAAAAAAAACCCTCAAAAAACAACAACAAATAAACAATCCTAGGCTCTTAATTTTTAAACATTCTAAATGAAGGGGAAAATACACTTATAAGAAAACACATTTAGAGGAAAAATTAAACTATTCATTAAAACAATATCATTTATAAGTATGACAATTATCACCCTGCCTTAACTACTTAAGCTTTTCCCTCTCAGTCTTCAGAGTTCAAACTAAGTACTGAAGTTCTGGACCAGCATTTTACCCCAAATGACAAGTTAAAGCACTATGTTTTATATTCTGGACCAGATAATTATGAATAAGTCCAGAGATAATCATGAAAAAGCAGTGATTAAATAAGAATGCCACAAATGAGTTAGTTAACTAAAAATCATTAGGATAAAATATTCCAAAAGCTGGGTGTGTTGTGGCTCACATCTTTAATACCAGCACTCAGAGGCAGGGGCAGGTGGATCTCTGAGTTCAAGGCCAGCTTGGTCTACAAAGGTGAGTTCCAGGATAGCCAAGGCTACACAGAGAAAATCAAAGGAAAACAAAACAAAACAAAACAAAACAACAACAACAACAAAAAAAACCAAAAACCAAATACTGACATTATTTTTTCAAGATAGTATTTATGATATAAGACATTTGGGGTGAAATGAAGGAGAGGGAGAAGGAAAGGGACGGAAAGAGTAAGAGTGACAGACAGACAGATACATGGTGATACACATCTCCAATCCCAGCATTTGGGAAACAAAGGCAAGGTAATGGCTGAGTCTGAGTCTAGCCTAGGCTATTTAATGAAACCTGTTGGAAGGATAGAAAGGGAAGATATGTAAAAGCTTGATTTCAGTTCAACAAAAGCTTTAGTCAAGTTTTGGCCACTTGGGAAGACAGATGTCAGTGTGCACCAGCCTTCATGCCCAGGGATTACCCAGGAGAAATGAAGGCATGTGTCCTCATAAACAACTGCACACAAACATTCACAACCATTTTGTTTTAGTAAAAAATGAGAAACCACTAAACATTCACACACAAGTGAATGGATAAATGGATGGGAGTGTATTTACACAATGGGAGACCACTCAGAAAAACAAACAACCTGCTGATCCACATATGAATCTCATATGAGCAGGTTAAGGAAATGAAGTCAGTACAAAAATAAAAAAGTTGGGGGGCATGCCATATGGCTTCACTTTTATAAAACTCTAGGAAACAGAAACCACAGGGACAGAAAGCAGATTTGTGGAAACCTACAGCCAGGGAGAGCAACAGCTTAAAAAAAAGTGCAAAGAAAGTTCTAGGGCCAGAGTTGTGTTCCTTCTTTATTTGGATGATTAATTATAGAGATTTATTTTAGCGTATGACAAACCCCACAATAAACATTTTCACTATGTGCACTTTCTTGTATGCTAATTATTAATTGAACAAAATATTAACTTACAGAAAAAAGTCCTCTTCTTCATCTGAATCGTCTTCCAAAAGATTTCTCTGTCAAAAAAATGAAAAAAGACTTGACTTTTCTGATGCAGAGGAATTACAAAATGTCAGGGAAGAGAAAAGAAACAAGTTCTAGGCTGCTGGCATTTTTAAACAAGCTTCCAGAACAGGGAAGAATAAATTACAGGTGCCTCCCAGACAGACAGAAAATCCGGGACAAGGTTTGCTGACCTTCCAGAGAAAATGCATTCAGTTCCAGAGTCCTGTCACTGGCATGGCAGTCATTCCCTTCCCTCCATGCTCTCTACTGGCATCCCTGAACTGTGGAGTTCAGTGGCTACCCCAGAAGGAGTAAGGGGGGAGGGGTGACATCAGAGCTGAGACAAAGGCTCTTCTAGATACCTACTCCAGAAATAGCCCCCTACATATGCTAATTTCAAGCAACTGTAATTTTAAGTTTCACATTTCCAAACACAAAGTCTTCTTTGAAATGAAGATGGCGCCACATTTTCCCTAAAAGGAGAACATGAGGTCCTAAAAGGTTTAAGTCATGCAAAATCCAGACCTGTAGACACAAACAATTTATCATATTTTGTAGGCAGAGTAATGGTGTCCCAAAGATGTCCATGTCCCAGTAACTAAACCCGTACTGTCAGCTTCTGAGGTGTAAGAGACTAGGCAATGTCAGTAAGGAGAATGAAGGTCCTTACTGATTATTCATTTGAATCCCAACTAAGGACAACCGTTCTTCAAAAGAAAAGAGGAAAGTAAAAAGAAGGCACTAAGAAATTGAGATTGAAGATGGAGGTAGGGTATAAGCCAAGAACGGGAGGTAGCTCCTAGTAACTTGGAAGAGCAAAACTCAATTTCCCACTAAGAAAATATGAAATAGCAGAGTTGCAGTGCTTCAACTTTGTGGTAATTTGCTTCTACAAAAATGGGAAATGGATCACGGATGCATCTTTTATGAGGACACTGCTTGAGGAATTAGACTACCCAAAGAGAGAATCAAATTAGAACAAAGTCTTAGGATACAGACAGATATGATCAAAGAATTTGAATGTGATGAGGGTTGGGAAGGCGGCTCAGTAGGTGAAGGAGTTGCTTCACAAGCATAGGACCTGAGCTGGGTTCCGAGCATCCATATAAAAAAGCCAGGTGTGGCATTATGCACTGGACCCAACATTGGGGTATGGAAACAGGAGGATCCTCGGTGCTGTCTGCCCAGTAAGCCTACCCAGTCAGCGTACCAGCGTCAATGAGAGACCATGCCTCAAAAATCAGATGTAAAGTAACTGAGGAAAAGACCCATACACACACACACACACACACACACACACACACACACACACACACACACGATAATATCATTGTGAACACTAAGTTAATAAAAAGCATAACTAAGCTCTAAGAGAGCTAAAACTCTCAGTAAAGCTCAGAGGCTGAGTGTGTGAGTGTGAAGGGACGAAGTAAAAGTATATTCATGTGCTCATCTTGGCAAGGAGTGAAAACAGGAAGGGGAAGAAAAAAGTAAACCAATGAAGGTGAATAATTTTTGGTATGAGGACAACAGAGATTTAAATATCACTGCCAAAATATTTTGTTAATATTTAAAAACAGAGGGAAAGAGAAGAAAGGGAGTAAATTCACCAGAGTGCCACAGGGTCCCAAGGCCAGGTAAGAGATGAGGAGAAATGATCAATCTGGCAAAAGTGTGAAGGGAAACAAAAAAAGGCATGTATGTATAACAGTCATTTATCCTTGTACAATAACTAATATATAACATATACTATAGAGTAAAGAAGAAATACTGTTCATTAAAATACTTGTTAATGCTGAGCATTTCATATGTGCTAGGCATTGGGGTAAACACCAAATATGAGCCATGACATGGTCTCAGCTCTCAAAGGAAAAGGTGATCCTAAGAAAAATGCCATGCAGAGAATTCAAACAGTGATGGGGCAGAAAGTGGCAGGGTGACCTCATGAGATTCAGGTTGTCATAGCAAATCATTCTGAAGACATGAAATTTAATCTTAAGTCAAATGGTGACAAAAACCCAGATAAATATTATAGACAGGGCACTCACTGCCCACAGGAAAATGGCTGGCACAGAAAAATTTCAACAGTATTATTTATCATAGCAAGTGAGTGACCCTACTAAAAACAAAATCATGCATGACTGGAGGTCCACAAAATCCAGGCAATATTGTTTTCAAGAGATTCACCTCAAAGAAATGTCAAATAAAGAATAAGCTGAGACTTGGAGAAAAGATGTACTGATAAGCTTAAAACATAAAGAATAATAGTAATCTAAGACAAACCTTAAAGCATCACAATAAATAACCAAATAAGATTTTTTGTGTTACAATTAAAAAAAGTATCATCTACCAAGAAGGACTAACAACAAAAAGGACTTAGCAATGCTCAATGTTCATATATAGATAATATAGTTTGAAATAAATAAAACTAAGTTCATATCAAATTACAAGCCCAGTGAGTTATACCCTGCTTTGAAGATAACTAGAGTTTATCTCAGTTGACCACAGAAAAACACACACAGCAATATTCACTGACCAGGTATGTGTGTTAGGGATACAATATAAAGAAGTTTTAACAGTATACAGTAAGATACCATGCTCACTCAGCAGGCAGAGTGTGAGTGTGATAAGGGTGTGCTTATACAGCATTGCTAAAAAATTTAAAGCTGTACACCCTCATTGGAAACAAGTCTGAGACCACCCCAAAAGGTTGGGTATAGTTACTATAAAACCTAGTAATTCTGCTGCTAGATACATACTCTCCAAAATGAAAACAGGGCTCAGCTATCAAAAGGTAGGTTCACAACCAAAAATATAAGAATGAAAACATATGTTCAAACAAAATGTGTATGTTAGTATTCATTCAGCAGTATTCAGAACAGCTGAACTAACAGGTGTGGCAGTGCAGGCATTCCAAAATGTCCATCAGATAATGAACAGATAACTAAATGTGGTACGCCCACACCATAGAATATTACACAGCAATAAAAAGGAACATAAAGGGGCTGGTCAGATGGTGAAGTGGCTAAGAACACTTTCTGATCTTCCAGAGGAGCCAGGCTTGATTCCCAGTAGCCACATGTCATAATCATCTGAAACTCTAGGTTCTGGGGGGGGGGGGTCTAAAACCCTCTTTTGGCCTTCTCAGGTACTGTACACATGGTACAAAGACATATTTGTAAGAAAAACACCCACACACATAAAATAAAAAATGAAAAAAAAAGTTTAGAAAAAAGGAATATAAAGTACTAATACTACAATACTGACAATTTTGAAAACATGAGTCAAAGAAGCCAATCACAAGATATATATCATATGATTTCAATTACATAAAATGTTCAGAACAAGTCAGAGATTTAGTTGTCTGTGACTGAAGGAATGGAGGGGATGTGGGTGATTGGTTAAGAGGACAGGGCTTCCTTCAGGGATATAGATGTGCCCTAAAACTGACTGTGGTAGTAGCTGCCAAAATCCACTCAACTATATACATATAATTTAAATGTTTAAATGGCCATAAGCCTGAAAATATTACACTGATCTCCTATCTTTCTACCTAAGAACTGATCCTAAAAACATTCTCTGACCTGCCCTGTTTGATGATAGGTCTTAAGACCACCATTCCAAAAGGTTTCTGTCCCATATCCAGCAGAAAGGAACACAGAGGCCAAGAAGTGGAGAAAGTTTCTCCCCCCACCCACCCCCATTCCTCTCTTCTATTAGATCACACACACCATTCTATCCAATCATAAAAACAGGCCAATTCACCTGCCTTTTTGGGTCTTCAATCTAACTGCTCTAATGTCATATAGAATAAAACCATGATCAGATAAATCTGTTCTACTTTTCCTTTGTTAACCTTCCTTTCGCTATGGGGCATCAGCCATGACCCTTTAGGGTGAACAGGAAAAGGGTCACCCTCTTTTTGTTCCATACATTCCAGATGTCCTTCTATCATTTACAAGGAATGCAGCTTATATTGGATTTCTTTAAAGCTTAAGCTTCTAAACTTACCCTTTCACTTTTCACAGACCCGGTAACATCATCATCATTTAGGTGTCGCTTGAACTTGGGAGGCATACTTTCTTCTCACAAACACTCTCCTATCGTCCACAGAGTAAGAATTTGCCACCTTAGGAGAAAATGAATTTCATCATATGAGAAGCTTTGAGGTAGAAGCAAACGTGCATAAGACTGTACAAGGCCCTGAATGAAAGGATCTCTTCACTTTTAACTACCTACCTGACTTGCTACATTCCACTAACTATAGTCTACATGTTAAGTCTTAGCTTGCAAGAATTAGTTAAAACCATAATTAAAAATGAATGTTATTCTCCTAAGGAAACATGTAGAGAAAATGGGTAAAATTTAGGTTTTTATAAAATGAAAGAGCAGATGCTGTCAAAAAGGGAGAAAATGGGAATAGTCCCTAAATACTGAACAAGCTTTGACTTTTAACTTGGAGTCAGAAAACAGTGGCATACTTCTGCTCACTGCACTTTTAACCAGTTGCTTAAGCATTGATTTGGTTCCTCATCTGTAAAGTAGTGATTTCCAGAATTCTGCATGAAGTTAGGTGGTCACAGGGGATAGATAACACATGCAAAACCATTTATAAAATATGGTCCTCTGGTGCTCCATAAGGGTAGCTAGTATTAGTGTGACATTGTGGTAATAATAATTCTATATTTACATATACATGTGCATATCTATTAACTCACAAAGTAATGTATATACATATATTTACATGTGTGTATATGTACGTGTTCTCTCTAGTCTTACTATTGTTTCCTGACATATAGATCCTAAAAACTCCATATACATGAGTGATAAATGTGAGTTTTTAAGCTAATGAGATTGACAGATGTCCAGTAGTCTATAGGCAGTGTCAGAATGGAGGCTATTCACTGAGAAAACCAAGACAGGATTAAAAGGTTGGGCTATTTCAGTCCATACCACCCCAACAGGAGAAGGTAGAAGTAATCCCCAACAGTAGCTGCTGTAATTTAGTATTTCCACAAATGTAGCTTCCATAAAAACCCAACAGGCCAGGACCCCAGAGAGCTGTGAAGTATAAACACATGGACTTTCCTAGAGAATGAACACCTAGAGGGACCAGGAAGGATCTGGGTTCCTTCTCCTATACCTTCCCATCTATACCATCTGATAATTCATCTGCACCTTTCATAACAGCCTTTATAATAAGCTGGCAAACTTAAGTAAAGTGTCTCCCTGAATTCTGTGGGCCACTCTAGCAAATTAATTGAGACCAACAAAGAGACTGCAGCTATCTCAATTTACAGCCAATTAGAAGCACAGGTATAATAGCTTGGGGGCTTGGAGCTGATGTGGGGGACATTGTGGCTTTTTCCTAGTAGACAGTGGTAGAAATAAACTAAGAGGACTTTTTAGCTGGCTTCTGTTGGAGAATGTCCTGCACAATGGTTTGTTTCTGAGGGAAAACACCCTCCTCACAGACATTTTCTGAGAGGAAATGGGATTTTTTTTTTCCATACATAAAAACAAGAAAGTTAAATAAAGCTGGTTTTCTTTGCAGCAGAATGTGCATTGTGATTTTTCCAGGAAACACTTGAGTATGCAACATAATCAAAATTTTCTAGAGAACTAGTTATGCAAATATAAAATTTCAGCATTTTGGAGCAGATGATGGCTGATTAAAAATTCATAAAAGCCAAGATGTTTAGCATGTGCTGAATACACACATGTATATGTAGTAACAGAGACATTTTTAGCATTCAGTATTGTACATGGGTTTTCTTTTTTATTCTTGACACTTCTTTCAAGCAAGCACTAAGAATATGTAGTATGACAAGTGTTATATCACTCCACTCCAACTGACCAACAAGTGAATATGTATTATCAGTTTAACACTTATGCACTTAGTTGCCATCATGTTACACAGCTCTGCTGTAGAAAGATATACTTTCTTAAAACAACCTACCATCTTCTACAAGAAAAAAAAAAAAACTTGAAGATCTTTAAATTAATGTTAGATATTAGTTTCTTGATTAATGGTAGGCACAAAAAGAAACCGAAATCAAAGTATTATCAGTAAAATCAGCTTCCTGCCATTTGTTTTCTGACTAGCAAACCACTTGTGACATTAAATAACTACCCATGCCTGAGTGACAGCTCTAGGGTTCTTCGAGTTATTTGTTAGATATATCTGACCCATTTTATTCCTTTCATCATAATTTCAGAACAAATTTCATGCAGAAAAATTACAGAGTGCACTGAAAAAAATGACAAAGCAAGAATTGAAGAAAACGAGCTTTTAATCATATCTGGACTTTCTATTTTAAACCTCGACAGCACAAAAGGAACAGATACTCCTGATCTCAGCCAACAGGGAATGAAGTGATCAAACGCACTTACATAACCTTTCTACAAGATATAATAACACTAAGCCTTAATGAGGAGTAAACCCCGTGTTCAAGTTCTTAAATCCAAGTTATCAGTTTGAAGGTAGCAAACTCAGGTCACTAGTAAAACAACAGACAGATAAATTAATTACTTTTGATGAACTACCACCAACTAATAGTTGTAGGAGAAAAAAAGTAGCAGAAATGCACTGTGCTCAGAAATTAAGAGTTGGCTATATTCTGCCTATAGTTCCTCTACCAAAAATATTCTTGTCATTTAAAGCGTCTAGGTATAGTAAGAGCCATCCCTGATGTCTTTCCTCAACAGGGTTCACTGAAGTGTCAACAAGGCAGGACTCTGATGTATACACTCGCTTAAATTTCACGTATGTTTATCTTTTGTAGTACGTTTTCTCGGTGGCTTTACACGTAAAAAACTTCTAACCTGTTGTTTATTCTATGTTGGCTTTTTTACTTTACAAAACACGCCCTGAGTGTTTCATTTCACAAAATGCTCAAATCTGGCTAGCCACAGGCTTCCCTTTTCTCAGTCTCCATTCCCTTTCTGGTTCTTCCTCATTTCTCATCTGATCTGCAGTCTTTGGTTGGTGGCAGTTTCACGCAAATCGTGATTTGAATGGACTCAAGACTGGAAATCTTACTCGCAAAACCTGTTACGTGTTCACCTCCACCATCGGGTCATTCTGAACACTGAGCGTTTTGTCCAGAACCCCTGAGGAAGGAGCCCAGGCAGCCTCCCGGCCGCTTCCATGGCTCTCTTTCCAGCCTGCGTACCAGGCCCCGCACCCCGACATCTGCTAGGAACTCTGCCCCCCCCCCCACTCCCGGCGCAGGAACCCCCTTGAAACAGCTCTTTCCGGGGAGGGTAAATCGGTCCCAAGGCTCCTCGGCCGCCCCAGCCGCACCCCCGCCCCGTCCTCGCGCCCCTTCCTCACGGCACCCCGGGCCCCTGGCTTCCCCACTCGCGACCCGGTCCTCGCGCAGGCCAGCTCCAGGCCCCAGCGGACGTTGGGGCGGCGGGCAGGGGCGTCGCCTAGCTTCCTTCATCTCTAGGCGTGCCGGGGCGGGATACCTGAGGCTCCCGAGGAGCTCCGGGCAGCAATCCCTGCTGGCTGCGCAGGGCGGGCGGGGGAGGGAGCGGGAAGCCGAGGAAGGAGGGTGGGAGGGGGAAGACCGAGGGCGCACACCCGGCTCCGCTCCGTGATGCTGCAGCGCCCCCGCGCATCGAGCCACTCGGCGCTCAGCAGCTTGGCGCTGGGCGGAGGGGGCGGGCTCAGACCTCGGGGATCCAGCCGCTCGGCACTCGGAGGCCTGGAGAGGGCTCATGGGGGCGGGCCCACGCAAAGGAGATCGAGCCTCTCGGCGCTCCGTTTCTTGATGTTGGGCGGACCGGACTAGTTCAAGCAGTGGAGACACCGAGCTGGTCGATCACTCCCGCCATTTAACCTAGGAGACTCCCCAGTAGATATGACATTCAGATGCCGTGGAGGAGCACGCGGATCGGACGTGGGAGGAGTAGGGAACGTTGAGGAGAAGTCTCGCAGAGCGGGACACTGAAGGGATGGATGACTGAGGTGTCGGTCGGTTAGAAGTTGTCGCTTTGCGGGACGTCTGAGGGAGCCAAATAGAAGTGTAAATGCCTAAGGCATTTTCTGATGGAAGAGAGTTGTTCGATGCCGTTTTTAAAATTAGTCAGGCTTGAGGATCGTTGGCAAGGGTTAGTCAGTTTCATTTCCTTTAGTTGTAGCCTGACCTGAACAAGGGGGAGATCATGGACCCAAGACTGACACTTTGGAAATCATTACAAGACAGAATCAGGCCCCCTGCACATGAGTATAAGTTAGAAAGCCTGAGCAGTCTGTGGGGCTCCTGGCAATTTATCCCTAGTGTACAAATGGACATTGGGAGCCCCTTCCCCATAGAGGGGTACTCTCTCAGCCTAGACACACAGGGGAGGCCCTAGGCCCTGCCCTAAATGATGTGACAGACTGAAGATCTTCCATAGAAGGCCTCTCCCTTTCTATGGAGCAGAAGTGGGATGGAATGGGGGTCGGTGGAGGGCATGGGAGAATGGGAGAGAAAGGGAACTGCGATTGATATATAAAATAAGATTGTTTCTAATTTTAAAGAAAACAGAGTGGTCCCTCTTTATTGTTTATTTTATGTACGTGAGTGTCTTGCTTGCATGCATATCTGTGCACCACATTTATACCTGATGGCCTCAAAGGCCAGAAGAGGACATGGGATCCCCTGGAACTGGATGGTTATGAGCCACCATGTGGGCGCTGGGAATTGGAACAGGCTTTTCTGCAAGAACAGCAAGTGCTCTTAACTACTGAGCCCTCTCTCCAGCCCCAATCATCTGATTCTTAAGTAGATGATCTACCATTTCTTTTAACTTTAGCCCATATCTTGCTCTTTTCTGAAAATTTCCATTCCTGAGCCATATTTGAGGTTTGAGTGTGTAAATCAGGCTGTATCTGCTAAGCCAATCACTACTTGATTTGTTTACTTTCCAGTTTTCAATATTTTGTTTTGCTATTGTTTCCTAGTAGGTTAAAAAAATGGAATGAAAATTAATTGTAAAAATGTGACTATATGCACAGCTCTCACTGGGTTTGAGGCCAGCCTGGTCTACAGAGCAAGTGAGTTCCAGGACAGCCAGGGATACACATTCTGTATCAGTAGGATGACTGTACATCTTACTTAGAAAACACATACATTTTCTTGAACAAAAAAAAAAAAAAAAAAAAAAAAAAAAAAGAACCCAAGTCAGGAGTTATCTAAGGAGCAACACAAAGTAGCCTAAACCTGTCCCTACTTTGCATTATTTGATCACACACATGAGTTACATAGAGCCTGGCTTTAAAACACAGATTGACTATAGGGTTTTTGTTTTGTTTTTTGTCCCCCCCCCCCCCCAAGACAGGGTTTCTCTGTGTAACAGTCCTGGTTTCCTGGAACTAGCTCTGTAGACCAGTCTGACCTCAAACTCACAGAGATCCTCTGGCCTCTACCTCCCTAATACTGGGATTAAAGGAGTGTACCACCACTGTCCAGCTCAACAATAGCCTTTCTTTAAAATATATACTGTACTGGCAATGCCCAGATGACTTCCTCAGGAACTTTAAATGTGATATGAGAAGGGTTCATGGATATCTCTGTTTTCCCTTTTAATTCTTGTTGTTTATTGATATACTGCTATATTATAAGAATTTTATTTCAGGGAAATGGCTCCCACAAAGATAAGGACATCAGAGAAACATGTCTAGTTGGGCTGTAAGTTTATTGTAAAGTTAAAAGTGGCCACCCTTTGTCAACTGTCTATTTTTAAGCACTATCCTCATAATTAAAATGTGACCTTTCTGTATAACAACCTAATGATAGTATCATTTTCCTTGTTAATGTAGAGAGCATGATTCTGAGATAACATTGTATAATTTGTCCAAATACTGCAGAACTATAAGCTTACATTGAGTTGAACTATTTATCTATGTATGCATATAAATGGGTCCCATGCTTCAACAAAATAGAAATTAGGCAGTTTTTTTTGTTTTTGTTTTTTGTTGTTTGTTTTTTTGGAGACAGGGTTTCCTCTGTGTAGCTTTAGCTGTCCTGAAACTCTCTCTGCATAGATCAGACTGGCCTCAAACTCACAGAGATCTCCTTGCCTCTGCCAGCTGGGTGATAGGAGTAAAGTTGTGCACCACTACTGCCCAGCAGTTTATACTTTTTAAAAGGAGGGATAAAAAATGTTTACTTGTGGAAATATATTGGTAAATTGAGTCTATTGCAGTGACGAATAGATATATATACCAATTAGCAAACAAAGAATTTTCCAGATATTCCACCACTAAGTCTTTGAAAATAATATAGAATTAACATGCTAAAATGCCACTATCACACAAAAGTAGAATGGAAGACGGAGTGGTTATCACATATTTGTAGTTAGAAAGATTTAAAAATAAGAGGTAGACATGGTGACATATACTTTTAATCCCTGCACTCATAAAGACAGGCAGATGAATCTCTGCATTTCAGGTCAGCCTGGTCTACATACATAAAAAAGAAAATACAACAGAATCAACAGGCAAATTAAACTATTTTAAAATATTGCATTGTGATACATTGTTCCTAATAAAGGAAAATATCTGACACTTTAAATGACATTTGTAAGCCTAATAATAAAAGACAGGGACAGTAAAAAATATATTTTTTGCCAACTTTATAGCAAAACATTAGTGTAAGGTGGAGTAGTAAGAGGCAGTATTTTATCTCAGTGTGTAAGTACAACAATAATTTCATTATATAAAAAACTATGGAAAAATGTTTTGATTAAAAAGCATGATTTCTATGAGCTGCGTTGAGTGGTCTAACAGCAGGCCAGACTACAGCTACTGCAACCTGGGGATTGTAGAAAGTTCCATAAATAAACACACTGTCTAACTAGTTTTCTTCTATGGTGTGTGACTTTCTGGAGAGATGTGAACAAATATCTATTTACCCTAGGTAGGGAACCAGCACCCTACAAAAGATTAATTTCATCCAATTCTACTTTGGTGAACCAAAGAGCTTATTGGGGTTACTTACAGGAGCCTAGGTGACTCAAAGGCAGAGTGCATCACTAAAAAAGCAAACCATGACATGAGTGATGACTCATGAAAGTTGCATCCCTGAAGCTCCTTGACGATGACCCCACCAGAGAGCCTCCTCCTTATAGCTGTTTACTGCTTTTATAACCTTGGGGCCTTGTGAATCCTGTAACTTCCTAAGTATTGTTTTTATAGCCTCTTAAATCTTGTAAGCCTCTTCCTTCAAAGAGGAATGCTCCAATTCAGAGGAGGTAGCTACCCAACGTTGTATACCCCATCATTCAACCTGTACTCATGGTTATACTTTTAGTAAGATGGGGAGAAGGTGCAGCAAGGTGCACATGTTTAGAATTTCTTTGGAAATGTCCCCTGTGCTAGATTTCTTCCAAACTGATGAGCAAGCCCTTGATTATTGACTCATGGTGTTATTTCCATCTAAACATTTTGTAGTCTTTTTTTGACTTGTCACCATATTGATAACTTCAGATGGCAGGCCAATGTAAAATCGTCTTAGCGTCTCTTCTTGCTTCTTCTGTTTTATTTTTAGCTGCTCCAGAAGAACCTCAGTCTGACCCTGTAGTTGTAGCTGAGGACTTCCTGTGGCCATCTACTGTTGGTAGGGAAGCTACACACCCCAGTTTATTCTTGAAACACATAGAAGCAGTCTTTCAATCTTAGTGTTTTGTGGTGACCCCACTTGATCTCTGAGTATGCTGAAGATCAAACATTACTTTCTTGCTGAAAGTGATATTGCTAGTTTGGGGTATAATATCAAAGTGAATTGATTAATCTTTCAGATATGTGATACACATTCTTTTAAAGTTTAAGGATATAAAATGGTAAAATGTATATTCTTCCAAAAGCTTACAGACTTTTACAGCAACACAAACTGAGGGTGTTAGTGTTCCATTACTATGATAAAATGCTTGTGTATGATAGTTTGAATTATAATTTCCCCTGTAGATTCGGGTGTTTGAGTTGGTGCTGCTGTTGAAAGTAGGTTTAGGAGGTTTGTCCTTTTGGAGGAAGTATGTTACTGGGGATGGGAGATTGAGGTTTCAAAAGTCACATATCATTTCCCGTTTGCTCTCTTTGCTTGGTGTTCATGATGCAAGCTTCCTGCTTCTGCTAGCATGCCTTTGCTCTACCATGATGGGCTCAACCTCTCTGGAACCATAAGCCCAAATAAATTTCTTTCTTCTATAAGTTCTATAGTTGGTCATGGTGTTTTAAAATAGCAAACACACTATGAAATAGCATAAAAAGACAAAAGGCCAGTTGGATTAACGGGTTTCAGAGGTTTTGGTCCATAGTAACTTGGGATCATTACTTGTAGGACTGTAGTGAGATAGATTATCATGATAAGGAGCACTTTGAGGAGCAAGCTGATCACTTTGTGGTGACCAAAAGAAAAAAATCAAAGAGACTTAGGCCCCACAATTCCTGTGAAGGCAATCTTCAATACAATGAAATCAAGTGGGAGTGCTGCCATATCTTGGGGGTTGTAATAAGAGGAAGCCATTACTATGTCCTGGCATGAATCAACTCCTGTAAGAATAGGTTCAGTAGAAAAATGAC